TAACATGTTACGATTAGTTTTTATTAAAATTTATAAATAAAAAAATTTGTTATTTTATTTAAACAATGATATCTTGTGATCCAGTGATCAGAATCAGATGATTTTACCACCATTCGATTCAGCTTGATGAGACAAATCGAATTAGGGTTGCGATTATACCAGTATAATAAAAATACCCAGTATAATACTAGGTATTATATTGTATTATACCGTATAGTATGGTATAATAAAAATTTATATATAAAAAAAAATTAAATATAATATATATATATAATAAGTACATATAATATTTTATTATAACATAAAAACTTAATATATAGTTAGTTTCGTTTATATATAACTATATATATATCTATATTTATATATTTGTAAAAATCATATAAAGAAGAATTTTTTTTAAATAAATATATTATTATTTAATTTCAGCATTTTAATTACTGATATAACCTTTATCTAAAACTTCAATATTTTCATTTTTATTATATTTAATAATATATTCTTTTTTTGTATAATGCATTCTCAAGTTACTATAAATATAAACTAATTTTTTTACCTGCTTATTTTTTAGACGATTTTTAGTTTTGGAATGAATATATCCAAAATTAGAATAATTACGTTCTGCAGAAGCAGATGAAGTTGGAATCGACAAAATACGAATGGCAAGTTTTTGAAGCTCTGATGAAGGCCAAGAAGACCACCAAGTCGAAGGATTGAGATAAATAGCTGAATTCCAAATTAACTCATTATTATATGGTATTTGTTTGTTACAAAATTTTAATAACTCTGCATATATTTTAGAAGCTTCTTCATTAGGATACTTTAAAGAAATAAAGTTTGCAAATGTTGACAAACAATCTGATTCATGATTATTTGTCTTGCTTTCTTTAAGATAATTTGGGTCCAATAAAAATGCGATAGTCATAATAGGATGGTAGATATAATTCCAACAATTTTGAATTTTTTGTTGAATTTCTGCTGAATAACTACAACTAATTTTTTGAATTTTAGTTAAGAGCATATTAAAGCATGAATAAGTTGTTGAAATTGTTGAGTTATTAGCTTCGAATGCTTTTAAAGTAGCAACAATTGGTTTAAGAATTCTAATAATAAATTTTAGATTATTCCAAAATTCATCTGAATGTAATTGTACCTTAATTCGTGCTTCTAATGATATTGTACTTTGATCATAAATCATTTGTTGAATTGCTGTTTGTGATTCGATAAATGCTTTAATACAATCAAGATGTGTTCCCTATCATGTAATTATAGGAAGAACAAGAGCAATTTCTTTACTATAATTTTCTTTTTGAATACGTTGTAATTTTGCTATTGAAATATAATGATCTTTGAAATATTTAACAACTGTTTTAACATCATCTAAAACTATTTTAATTTCATCAATTTTTAAAATATCACTAATTAATAAGTTAATAACATGCGAAGAACATCTGAGACAAATAATATGAGGATATTTTTCTTCAATTATTTTCCAAGCAGCTTTCATATTAGCTGCTGTATCTGTAATAATAGATGAAAATTTATGAATTCCTACTTCTTCCATTTTTGTAATAATTTGGGTTGCGATCCACTCTGCTGTATGACGGGCTTCTCCAGAAAAAATTGCATCATAAAAAACTGAATTAGGTAAACAAATAATGAAATTTTGAACTGCTTCATGATTAATATTTGACCAACCGTCAGAGACCATAATAAGATTTTGAATATTATCTATTTTATGTTTAACATCATTTTTAATATCTTCATATACATTTTCTAAAAGCCCTGTTGATAATTTATCTCGATTAGGAATTTTAAATGATGGTCGAAGAGCATTAAAAAATTCTACCCAAAAAAGATTTGTAAATGTATTAAGAGGAATACCTGAAGTATAAATTGCTTTAGCGAATTTATAATCTAAATTTGTTATTTTATTATAATCTATTCGATCAATATAACTTATTATAGTACTTTGTTGTGTTAAATTCGAATCTTGCAACTTTGGTTTTTTAATAATTTTTGCTGATTCAGGTGTATTTAAACAATCATTAGTATGCTTTTGCATATGAGTTGCAAGTCCATGTTTAAATTTTTTAGGACAGTATTTACATTGTACAGGTGGATGTAATTTTTTGGAACCTTCCTGATCTTGAGTATTTGTTGATGAAGAAACAACATCTTCAGTATCATCTTCATCATTACTTGATGTCTCACTAAAACTATCAAGTTGACTTAATTCGTTGAGTGGCAAAGTTCTCCAATAATCCCAAATTTTACTTTTTTGTGGCATATTAATAATGATAATTAAAGAAAATGATAGTTTATTTGAGAAAAAATGATAATAGCTAATACACTTGACAAAAATATCACGCTTTCTTTTATTATAATTTAACAAGTGAATGAAGGTGGTATTTATAATAATTATATTATAATTATTATTGTTCATACTTGTTTTATATGTTAATTATTTCCTTACTAACAGTTTGATTTATTAATTTATTTAAAATGAAACAATTCTTGTCATTATAATTTTAAAAGCAATTTATCCTTCTTTTATCATAGTATCACTTTAACATATATTATACTATGATATATTTATAATAGTAATATTTTAATCATTTATTTTTTTTTGTTTCGCTAAATTATTATTTAACACCGGTAATTTATTGCAACTTGCATATATTTTAATTGTACAATTTAACAATCTTATACGAATGCTAAAATCATAATGGATGAAACCTGCAATAAATTTAGGCTTAATCTGCATTATAAATAAGTTTTACTTTCGTATAATTATTTAAGTAGGTTTTACTAAAATTTAAAGTGGGTTTCAAAACAATTGACCAGATAACGATAGTGAAATGTTTGATTACGATATTTATTATGCGAAATGTTTGATTACAATATTTATTATGCAGATGATGATATTTATCATGCGGGTAATGAATATCGATTTAATGATGACCAATTAAAAAGTATCAGAATATACAAGTTTGAAACAAAGTCGAGTTTGTTTTTTACGAAGAAAAAAATCTAGCAATTTGATTGGCTATATTAATACTACTTGGTATTATACCTAGCTATCTATGTATAATACTTGTATAATACTTGTATAATACAAATAGTATAATACGGTATAGGTATAACCCGCATCCCTATCTGTATTACACAAAGTCACGTGATAATCACATGTTACACGAAACCAAAAGTGGAATCTTATTGTATAAATAGAAATTACAAAAAAGGCAATTATTAAAATTGTGTGATATTAATTAAAATAAGCCAATTTTAGTGTAATTTAAAAAGCACCACTAGTTTTTAAATATTGTAAAATGTAGGTGGCATGGCTGGAGTGGCTTTAGTTATATGAAAAACGTCTCTAGTTATTTAGAAAGAGAAAAATTCTCAAAGTAAAGGAGAGGGAGAAAGTAAACAGAGTTGAAAATTGTTTTGCTTGTAACTCAGTCAGTTTTAAGGCTACAAGAGTCTATTATAGCTTGTTTTGAAGAGGAAAATGTATAGAGTAACTTGTAATATGCTTTGTAATGAAGTTTAGAATCTAGATTTTGTGTAAACAGCAAAAAAGTCTTATTTGGCCTGGAGGGCCGTTGTTTAAAGAGTTTAAAAGCTATCTCTTTAAAATTTAAATATTATATGTAATTTTCTATGTAGAGAAAGTTTTGTTAAGACAAGAAATAATGCTGTCTTAGTAAATTATTGCAAAAATAGAATATTTGTTGAGTTGTTTTTTAGAAAAATTTTTGTACAAGTGATTGATGGGGAGAGTATCCTTAATAATAATAATAAGTTATTAGTAGCTGAGAGTATATTATTCATATTAATTGGCAATCTGTAAGTTATCTAGAGAGTGGTCATAGTGAAATATGATGCAGATTACTTATAAAAAATTAGAGATTTCAAATATGGCATACACATATCTAAAACTTTTTTATACTAAGTTAATCATCTTTCTGGCTTAAGAGACTTTTGTAAAGCTTATTAAGATGTATATAATAGTGAGTAAAGCATCAAAATCAGCCTAGTGAGTATTATGATATCTTTAAAAAATAGTTCTTTTACTATGTAAACTTCTTTGCAAACAATAGTATTATTTGCAAAAAAGTTTATATAATAAAAGAAATATTTTTTAAAGATATTTCAGTATTTACCAGGCTGATTTTGATGCTTTACCCACTATTAGATGCATCTTGATGAGCTCTACAAAAGTCTTTTAAACCAGAAAGGTAATTAACTTAGTATAAAAAAGTTTTAGATATGCATATACCACATTTGCAAATCTCTAATTTTTATAAATAATCTGTATCATATTTTACTATAACCACTCTTCAGATGACTCGCAGATTGCCAATTAAATCTATTGATTAGTTAAGTAAAAGGTTTTGAGAAGTTGTAATTTAAGTAAACTGCTTGTTTATATTTTTAGTTGTAGTAAAATAGTTTTAATATAAGAAAACTAAAGCAAGAGTTGGATTAATTTGTAAGAGTTGCTAATTCAATTTTTCTAAATTTTGGAATAATATTAATTTGTCTATATAATCTTTTGTATTGAATATTTATTCAACTTGAAGGTATTTTAGTAAAGTAGTAGTTTTTTTTTTTTGAAAGTTAAGATAATCTCTATGGCTAGAACTTTTTATTAGATTATAAACATCACCAAAATTTGCAAGGGGATTACTATCGATTTTAATCGGTTATTTGATAGTAATCGTTTTAAATCCCCACTATCGAGGACTATCGATTTAGATAGTAATCGATATAAATCGATATATATCAGGTTAAAAATTCCGAATAGTATCGATTAATAACGTATAATCGGTTCATCCTATTGTATAAAAATCATTACTATTATACTGTATACTTATTACTCTTATTTAGTAAATATCAAATATTACTTTTTATAACGCAAACA